CCTTTTTTTTAATTGCCGCGGAAATATCGTACAGTGGTGCTTGAACGTTGGCGGCGCCTCGGACGAATCGGTGGTAAAAATTCAATGATCCGAGAAAACGTTGTAGTTCTTTTTTGGTGTTCGGTTGCGGCCACCGTCGTATAACGTCGACGCTGTCCGGGTTAGGGCGCAAGCCCTGCGCATCGACTACATGTCCGAGAAAGGTGAGCGTTTTCGCGGCGAAAACGCACTTCGCCGGATTGATGGCTATCCCGAACTCCTCGAAACGGCCGAGTACGGTGCGGACATGTTCGACGTGTTGGTCGGCGTTCGCGGAGGCGATGAGGACGTCGTCGACGTAAGCGAAAACAAAATCGAGGCCGGCGAGAACAGTGTTGACCAGTCTTTGGAAGGTTTGTGCAGCGTTACACAGGCCGAAACACATTACTGGAAACTCGAAAAGGCCGAACGGTGTTGTCACAGCGGTTTTGTGGATGTCACCAGCGGCGATCGGGACTTGGTTGTAGGCGCGGACCAGATCGAGCTTAGTGAAGACCGTTTTTTTTGCAAGGTTGGCAGTGAAGTCCTGCAGGTAGGGAAGCGGGTACCGGTCTGGAACGGTGACGCTGTTCAGCCGGCGGTAATCGCCGCATGGTCGGAAAGACCCGTCCTTCTTGGGCACCAATAGCAGAGGGCTGGCCCACGCGCTAGATGAAGGTCGGCAAATCCCCTGTTTTTGCATCAGCTCGAAGTCACGGCGCGCGATGTCGAGCCGATCGGGAGGCAGCCGCCGCGGACGCGCGAAAAGGGGCGGTCCTCTGGTTTCGATGACATGTTCTACTCCGTGTCGGAATGATTCAGGTACGGGTGACTCACGGGTCACGCTTGGAAAGTCCTGGAGTAATCTATCCCAATCCGGAGAGCGAGCGACGGTGAGCAAGGCGGTGTGTGCCGACGGTGCGGCTGTCACTGCACAGGTGGCTGTTCGCTTGTCGGCAGGATCGACGAGGCGTTGTTGCCGGACGTCGACGAGGAGGCCAAAATAGCGTAGGAAATCGGCACCGATGATGGAGCGTGAGACATCAGCCATCTCAAAGGTCCATGTGAAAGGACGCGAAAGTCCGAGGTCGAGCACAAGTGTTTTGGGCCCGAACGTTTTGATGCGTGTTCCGTTGGCGGCTGTGAGGTGTAAGTCGGACGGCTGGTGTGAGCCGTAGCTATACGGTATGACCGAAATTTCAGCGCCCGTGTCAACGAGGAACAGCTTGCCGGAACGTTGATCGTTGATGTGTACCCGCGTAGAATTACTGACGACGTACAGGGCGGGTGGCCTGTGCGCGCTCCTCAGTTTTCCGCGGGCGCGGACGCGGGATTTTCCCGCGACTCCTGTTCGAAACTGCACGGCGATTGACAAGCGCGCGCCCTTTTGCCGAACCTGGTGTGGTAGAAACACATTTTCCCCGGTTGCTGCGCGTCCGAGCGCGCGGGTGCCCGAGATCGAGATCGCGAGGGTTTTTCCGTGGAGTTGACGATTTGAGTGAGGGACTTGACCTGCTGTGACAACACTGATACGGCGTCGGCCAGTTCGCTAAATTGCCCCTTGGACAAAACATCGACGCTCTGCGGGCTGGACACGTCCAAAATACGATCGGCGCGCGCAGCCAGTTCGTCCAACGATGCGTCGAGGCTGACGAGTATGGCGGTCACGTTCGACGGGAGTTTCTGAAGCCAGAATTCTTTCAATGCGTCTTCGCCTATGCCAGGTGGCATACTGTTACGCATGTCGCGAAGCAGCTGCGACGGTCGGCGGTCACCCAAACCTCCGGGCTTGACGATTTCGCGGAAAAGCAGCGCTCTGGGCACCTCATAGGCGCTGATGAGACGCGTACGGATGTCGGAGTAGGGAGCGGCTGTGTTCAGGAGGTCGCCGATGTTGCGTACTGCCTCTTCGTCTAGAGCGCTGACGACGAAATGTACTTTAGTCGCGTTGGCAGTGACGCGATGTGTTACGAACGTAGATTCCGCGTAGTTGAACCAAAGTGTCGGAGAGCGCTTCCAAAATGCCGGAAGCCGCATGTTTGCAATGGCATCAACGACTTGGTTCAGGTTGCCGGCGACGTTCTGGATATTAGGCGCGTTTCCTTCGGCGGCCATGACGGTTGACACGGAACAAGATCACCACTCGTACGACGGGTACGTGCACTACGATGACGCGTGTATTGCGAAAACGTGCGGAAACACTCAGCGCGGAAACGGCGGTTACGAATTCGTGCGTGTACGCAAAGGAAAACTTTGAACTTGAAGAGGTCACCAATGTGGGGTTCGGGTCGTTATCACGATCGAACACCAACGATTAAAAAATAAACGAGAACGCGTTTAACGTATAAGGTGCGCGATGCGCGGTTTATTACAAAAAGAATAATTAAACTTAACAAAAGGCGAGCAGATCGAGTCGATCGGTACTCGGAGGTGAGCAGCTGGTCACGTGCGTTTTCGTGCGGCGGTTTTGGAAGAAAAACGAACGAGCTACGCGAGCGGCGAAAAAAGAGCGCGTGGTTTATTTTATTACTTTTAATTAATTCTTACGGACGTGCGTACGGAGCAACGGTAAAAACAAGAGAGAGGCGGGTCGGCCGCCGCAACCAAGCGGAGGCCGCCGCTAGACGCGATCGCAATGTGACCAACCGTTGAACAATATCAAAGATATACGGTACTACCGACGGCGGAGGGAGGTCATGTGGCATTGGTCCGCCACATCACTCCCCCCCGACGAAGGAGAAAATACCGTAGGTGTTTTCGATGTCGGAAATCTATGTACGGACACGGACTGCATGGCATACGAGTGGTCCAGGGCTGGGTCCTCGCGGAGGACGAAGGCAGGTTTGAGCCGGTCTACTGACACCCACGACGTCCGGTTGCCCAGCTGAAGCTTGAAATCCTTTTCTCTTCGATCCAGTACGGCGTAGGGCCCCTCGTAACGCGGTTGAAGCGGAGCGCGCTGCGCGTCGACGCGGACGAAAACATGGCTGACGGAGTCGAGCTGCGTAGGAACGAAAATACGTCGGGCCGGGTCGTGATTAGATCCGGGCGACGGTCGAAGCTCGGCCATGGACAGCTTAAGTGCCGTGACGAAGTCCGGCGATTTCATCTCTGAGGGCGCGGAGTGGAACAACTCACCAGGAAGGCGAAAGGTCGCCCCATAAACGAGTTCCTACGCAACCAAGCGGAGGCCGCCGCTAGACGCGATCGCAATGTGACCAACCGTTGAACAATATCAAAGATATACGGTACTACCGACGGCGGAGGGAGGTCATGTGGCATTGGTCCGCCACAACATGTTGCTTCTCTTCGAAAAGTCAATTAGAGTTGGCATTTGCCAATCAACTAAAAGATATGTCAAAGCAAACATACCAAATATCGAAGGATTGGACTTTAATTCGAATGAACCGATCACATGGATTACATATCTTGACTGTGTGAATTTGTATATGAAGTCTATGTTAACAGAATTACCTTTTAAAGATTTTGAATGGATTGACGATCTCAACATAGATGTAACCAATATATGTCGAAAATATAGTGATTTATAAGTTACAAATTTTCGTAGACGAGAACACTGTTTTGGTAAAAGATTAGATTTTATTACAACAACAGAATCTAAGCACGAAAGGTTTAGATCAGATTACATTTTTTTTTTTTAAATTATGAATAATTAGTAAATATATTATAAGTTTATAATTATGTACATAGGTAATCAATGTAATTTTTTTTTTTATAGTTTATAATATAGTATTTTTCTTTGACTTAATTATTAAATTATTCGTTAATTTCTATAAACTAAATATAACCATTGAAAACTATAGATTGTACTTGATCTGTCATCATAGTTAATTTTAATTTTGATATAAATGTTTTTATTATATTTGGTTTCATAAAATATTATAAGCATTTACATATGAACTAACCTCAATAAAGAAACATCGATATATATATATATTTATTTATAGGTCAGTCAGAGTGATAAATCACTACGTCAGAAAAATCGCGAGAGCTCAACATAGATCTCAACATAGATGCAACCAAAATCACTGATGATTCTAAAGTTGGATATATATTAGAAGTTGATATTGAGTATCCTAAACATCTTCATAAAAATCATAACGATTTTCCATTTTTACCTTTTATTGAATATCCACCAAATTCGAAAGTTAAAAAATCACTCACTACACTATCATCAAAAAAAAAACTATATAGTTCATTATAAAAAATTGAAACAGGCGATCGCGAATGGTATTGTAGAAACGAAAATTCATAGAGCTATCCGCTTTTTCCAAAGTAAATGGATGGCATCATACATTAAATTATGTACATCTATAAGAGTACTAGCTAAAAACAAGTTTGAAAAGGATTTCTGGAAGTTGTTAATTAATAGCGTTTTCGGTAAATGTATGGACAATGTTCGAGTAAGAACTTCTATAAAACTGGTTTCTTCAGAAAAAAAAGCAAGGAAATTAATGGCAAAAACTAGTTTTAAAGACAGAACTATATACTCTAAGAATCGCATGGCCATTCATCAGAATAAGGAGACAATTAAATTTGATAAGGCAATTTATGTAGGATTTGCAATTTTAGACGTTTCGAAAACATTTATGTATGACTCCCATTATAATGTCATGAAGAAAAGGTATGGTACTAAAATTAGTTTTTTATTTTCGGATACTGATTCCCTAATATATGCTATCCAAACAACAAATTTTTTAGATTTAAAAAATAGTTTTTTAAAATATTTTGACACATCTAATTATCCTAAAGACCATAGGTGTACTCTGGGGTAAAATCTTGGGGGGGGGGGGGGCAGTTTATGGTACAACTAAAATTATATAAGGTAGGTTGGAAAATGGTGGCTTTTCTTCTCCCAATAAATAAATAAATCAGTAAGTATTATATTTATTAGTTGCTAGTTAGTAATAGACAACGTTAAAATATTATAAATGAATAAACAACAATATAATTTAGTAATTTTATTTCAATACAAGCCGTCGACCACGAATTGGTGCACCTTCGTCAAATTCATTTATTACTTGATCAAAATCAACTTCTCTACTACTTAGTCTTGTTTGGCCCATAGTAAGCCGTAGATATGTTTTTAGTTTCTTCAACGAAGAGAAACTTCTTTCATTTGAAGCTGTGTTTGTAGGTATTGACAAAAATATAGTTAAACATATGCTATAATTTTCAAATCCACCTTTCAAATTATTTTTCTAAAAAAAATCTATTCTATTTTCCAATGAATCTTTTATTTCACTGTTTTTAACATTTTATTTAAAATAGACAGCTCTCCTTTTAATTCTACTTCGGTTAAACTGTATGTTGTACATACTTTTTTAATAACGTCATTCGATAGGTTTTCTTCACATAGTACATCATATAATGCTTGTAGGATATCAAGATCATTTTCAGAAAAACGAATTGATATATCGTTAGTTAATAAATCTAAAAGACGGAAGAAAAAGTTAATTTTAAAATAGTGTTGAACATCTTGTTAAACTGCTTGTTTGGCACCTCCACCGTGTCTATTTGGAACTTTGGACATTCTAGGCATCTTAGGAGGATCTAATTTATTTTGATCACAAACAGTTTTTGAAAGTATCCATAATTCATTCAATTTTGAATCACACCTATAATCCTTTAAAGACTCAATTGTATGCATAGCCATATCTTTAACAGTTGCATAGTTATTTTTTGGTGACTGTAAATATACATTTAATACATTAGTCAAACCTAAAATTTTCCTAAGAACATGTAGACAAAATATAAACTCAAAGTTCTTGACACATCGTGAAAGTGAAGCTGCATCAGAACCAGAATGTGTATCTATGCTTTCTATTTCCAAACGAGTTTGAAATATAGTCTCCAGATTTTCAAGAACAGATTTTATAGCTTCAATCCTACAATTCCAAAGAGTATCACTGAGTGATTTTAATGGTTTTTTTTTTATGTTTTTTAAATCTTCTTGCACTTTTTGATCGTCAATATTTGAATGATCTGGAATTGTTTTATTTTCTGCATTTGATTCTTGTACTTTTTTGAAAATAGCATATCTTTTTGAAGATGCCTTTATAAAATTATGAAGAGTTGATAAAGTTCCAAAAGTATTTCTTACCATTGGTACAGACTTAGCTAAATCAACTAAACATAGATTGAGTATATGTGCATAACAATGCACATATAGTGCTAATGGATTTTTTTCTTTTATTCTACTTTGCACGCCACTGTAGGATCCTCTCATCGACGCAGCACCATCATAGCATTGACCTCTAACATTATTTAAATCTATTCCATAAGAATTTAATACATTTTTAATTAGATTAGTTAAAGCTAACCCATCAGTTGTATTTGTTTTAAAAAAACCTAAAAATACTCATGTGGGGCAAAATGTTGATCAACGTATCGGATATAAATAGAAACTTGTTCATGATAACTCAAATCTTGAGTTTCATCCACCAAAATACTGTAAAAGCCATTACTTTGAATATCTTTTATGATGGATTTTTTAATGCTATCTGCCATATATTTTAAAAATAAATTTTGGTATTCAGGATTTGTATAGGTAAATGACATTTCTTTTTCGATATAATATTTATGAATAATTGCTAATTGTGCTCTCAATTTTAAAAGTTCGAGAAAATTTCCACAATTTGTTGACATTTCTGTTTCTTTGTGTCCTCTCATTGCTATACCTTGTCTTGCACAAAACAAAAGGGTTATTAATAGACATATAATATATTCTCGGTTCTGAGTTACAGAATTCTTATGTGCTAAATTCAATTCAGAAATCACTGATCCATTCTTTTTAGAAAACGTATAACTTGACAATTTGCATGTAGACTCTTTGTGTGCATTACATTTTTGGTGTTGAGTAAATTTCTCTATTCCTTTCTTCCAATTTTTAAAACCAAAATTAGTGAAAGTCTTTTCTGCATTTTTCGATGCAAACACTCTACAATTGAAACAAAAAGCTGCTTGTAAATGCTCACTGAACTCAATCCATGGGAATTGGCTATACCATTCAGTTCTAAATGATCTACCATTTATCTTGATAAATTCAACATCTATTGGTTGGTAAGGACCATAATTTTCAATAAATAATGTAAATGCTGCTGATGTTTTACCAGCAGGATGACGCACTTGTATATTATTAGCCATACAATTACCATCTATTTAAAATAACAATAATAATAATAATAATATAAGATAATTCTTGTTTCTGAGGTTAGTAATGTATAATCTGCTCTCGTGTTCGGGATGATCCGCTGCATAGATGATTATGTCATCTAAATATACAAACGCCTTGATGTCGTTAAGTCCTGCTAATGCAGTGTTCATAAAACGTTGGAACGTATTGGGTGCTCCGTACAACCCAAAGGGCATACGGACAAATTCAAAATGACCTTTGTCCGTTGAGAATCCCGTCTTCTCACGATCTTGTGGTCGAATTGGTACTTGATGGTACCCACTAGCGAGATCTAGTGTGGAGTAATATCTGGAACGTCCTAGTTGGTCCAGGATCTTATCGATCCTTGGAATTGGGAAAGCGTCTCCGATGTTTAGTTTATTAAGTTGCCGGAAGTCTACGCAAACCCTGAATTGTGGTTTCCCGTTCGCGTCAGGTTTCTTATGTACTACGACTAGAGGTGCGTCCCACGGCGATTCTGATGGTTGAATAATATTATCATCTTCCAATTTTTTCATTTGTTCGTTTATTACCTGGCGGTGAGCGTAGGGAAGTCTAAATGGCCTGATGTTTACAGGAGCTGTTTCCACAGGAACCTTAATCTCATGCTGGATTGCTGTGGTGAATGGAAGAGGCTGGCCGTCCAAATGGAATAATCTTTGATACTTCCTACACACTTGAAGCAGGCTAGCTCGCTCTTCATGATTTAGATGGTCTGTGTGAATTACCTGAGATATGTCCGATATGCAGTCTTCCTTATTTACACTGTCTTCCGATTTCGAACATAAATGTGTGCTCGCCCCTTCAAAAACGTCATATTATACACTTTCTAGCTGAGGTGGTGTGAATTCAACGGAATCACTTGATTGATTTATCACTGACACTAATATTTGGCCATTTTCCACCGTATTGAGGGCATTTCCTAACAGGATACTACCCTCACCAATGTTTTGCGCTTGAATTATTAAGGCTCTGCCGTCTTCCTTTCCGTTAAGATAAGTATAAGTGTTTCCGATCTCAGCTGGATAGTCAAGATTATTGGAGAAACCACGGACTCTGGAGGTTCTGGACTTCCTAGATTTTCTGGATTTTCTGGATCTTCTGTTGATAAACTGGAGTTTCTGAAATTGATACTGATGCCATTGTCCTTGAAAAATGGCCGCGCCTAAAATTCCCAATTCCGTAATCGGAAAGTTGTCGTGAACCACTTGAAATTCGGCATCTGTCTGCTTTGTCCCAAGTTGAACTTTTAAAACAACCGATCCTATAGTGAGTACTGGTTGCGAATTGATACCTTTTAGCTCATAGATTATTTTCTCGTTTATCAATACCTCTTTTCTTTATTCTGAAAGTTTGATTATATTTACATCGCTTTCTGTGTCCACTATTGCTCTTACCTCCTCTTGGACACACTGTACAATTTTGAGCGAAGTTGAATTATTTACGAGTTTTGCCAAGAAGTGGAGGGTCACTGCAGACTTATGACAGCGCTCTGAATCTGTTGAACCGAACGTGCGCTGACTGGGTTCGGCTCTTCCCCGTTTTCGTACTCTGATTCTCCGTCGTACCTCCATTTGCACCCTGTTCCTTTTTGCTGTTGACATACTTTCTTTTCCGACACTCCTCAAGCTCATGTCCTTCCTTCTTGCAATACCTGCATACTATTACCATTTTTACGGCGGTTTTTGAATTCGACTGTCCACTTTGCTGGCTGGCTTTAAATTTTGCTTGGTCCCATTGTGATGCTCTGCGGTCCCTTGCGAAATGAATCGTCCTGCCACACTTGAAACAGCCCTTATTTGAGTTATTGCTTTTACTGTAGTTCCCTGGTTTAGATGTTCCGAGATTAGATTTCCCTGGCTGATTTCTGGTATTCGTCTGCAGACTGAATAATTGTGTCTCCTTTTCCAAGTTTTCTTCTATTTCCTCTTCCAACGCAAAGGCTAACGCGTCACCTAATTTCTTCGGACATCGAGCCTTTAATATTAGCCGATAAGATTCTGGTAACCCACTTATGAAGGCGTTGAGTACCTGATTGTGTAACAGCCTGTCAATATCAGTTCCATTCGAATATTCTCCTGCCTCCATTGTTACATCGATCAAGTCATGCAATAATTGTTCCATTTTATCATGGTATTCTTGCACCCCTTTATCAGGGCTCTTCCTGCACGTGAGTAATTTCATTTGTAGTTGCGGTAATACCTTTTTCGTTTCTGATATTTCCACGATATTTTTCCGGAACTCCTTGTATGTCGTTATATCCTTGTACCTTAACGATCGCAATGTTCTTCCTGTTAACTTTACTATTGATCCTTGCACTAGAAGGTCCACCTGTTCCGGGTCCATGATCCTGACTGCAAAATCGCATGCCCTTAGGAAATGGTATGCCTGGTCGGGATTTGTTCCATCAAAGTTCGGCACTACTCGCATTGCTGCTTCGATGCTTACTCCGGATTTGGTCCTTCTATAGAATTAGAGGTATCGTTGGTCATGATTTCTATCTGTCGCTCTGACGTTTTTTGCCTTTTTATACTTATACTAATATTTATGCTTCCCATTCGCAATTATTCCCTTTGTAACAATAAAATGAAACTTACAGAATTGTGCCTAATAAATATTGTTGCATATTGAATTGGAGTCGACTGTTGTTGTTTACTCTCGATAACGCTTCTGTAGATAGCGGCACGATGTTATTGATACTCTGACCCACTGACATGGTGGCGTCGACCTTGACCTATTCCTTTGATTTCAGGGTTTTTTGAGGATCTGGTAACGACTCGATGAATTCTGCTGAGAGCATCTGCATTAGTGTTGCTGGATCCAGGTTTGTATTGTATACTGGTATTCTTCTAACTTTAATCTCCAACGGGTAAGTCTGGAACCGGGATCTTTTAGATTGAATAACCAGATTAAAGCTCGATGATCTGTTATTATATTGAATTTCTGTCTAAAGAGATATGGTCTGAAAACTTTGATTCCCCAAACAATACTCAACAACTCTCTCTCTGTTGTATTATAATTTATCTCAGCTTTGTTTAAGGTTCGGGATGCATATGCTATAGGAAAGTCCTTACCAATAAGTCTTTTCTAAAGGACGCAACCGATCGCATAATTACTAGCATCACAAGAGAGATTGAAAGGCTTTGAAAATCAGGATATTGGAGAATTGGGGCTTGTGTCAAACAGTTTTTCAGTGTCTCAAAAGACTGTTGACATAAGTCATTCCACTTATAAGGAGTGTCCTTTTTTTAGTAGGGTTGTCAATGGTTTTGCTATTTGTCCATAGTTTTGAATGAATCTTCGGTAATAACCCGAGAGTCCGAGAAAGGATTTGACTTCCCCTCCATTGTTAGGAATTCCTGAACATATTGAATTTTCTGAGGATCCGGTTTAACCCCTTCATCAGTGATTCGATGACCCAAATAGGTGAGTTTTAATGGCTGAAGTTTTAAGTTATATCGTCTAAGTCTTTCGAAAATATCTGTAATCTTCTGTGAATGATCTGTCAAGTCTTTGGGGTATATTATAATGTCATCCAGGTAAACGAATGCTTTTAAACCGTTTAAACCTTAAAGCACTTTGTTCGTAAGTCTCTGGAAGGTCCTAGGTGCCTCTTTTAAACCGAAAGGCATACGTAAAAATTCATAATGTCCCTTATTCTTGGAAAAGGCCGTTTTTTCTCTGTCCACCGGGTTCATAGGTACCTGATGATAACCTTGAGCTAAATCCAACTTGGTATAGTATTTGCATTTGCCCAACTGATATAGAATGTCTGTTATATTTGGGAAAGGGAAAGCGTTTCCTATCGTTACTTGGTTTAGTCTGGGAAAATCTACACAGACTCGGTAGTTGACTTTCCCATTAACATCGGGTTTTTTCGGAACAACCAGAAGTGGGGAATTCCAAGGTGAGTCGCTAGGGGCGATTACACCTTCCCATTCTAGGGTATCCATTTGTTCCGTTATCTCTTGTCGATGTCTTTGAGGTAAACGATATGGTTTCTCGTTAATAGGAGATACCGCCTCTGAAGTTCTGATTTCATGAGTGATTGATGAGGTGGCTGTGATGTGATCTCCCTCTAAAAATAATAGATTAGAATGTTCATTACAGATTGACAACAGTGAAGACTTCTCTTCTGAGTTGAGGTGGTCAAAAAGAAGAACTTCCTGTAGCCGAATTATTCTGCTGCTATCAGCTCTAGGTTCTGGATAATCTTGTATTTGTATCGCGTGCATATTCGCTTCATTGAACTCTTCATAGATAAATTGGTCCAACTTGGGTACTGTTATTGGAATGGAATTCTCGGTAGTATTGATAAATGACACTAAGACGGATGAGACTGGTGACACAGTTTCCACAAGTAATGGCTTCCGTGATGTTTTGTTTGTCTATTAAAATGTTAGAATTTTCTGCTAACTTTGAGGCATCTACAGCGACAAGAATTTCCGCACGCGGCTGGAGTGTCACCTCTGACTGATCCGTAAAAATTAACTCTGACGTTTTGTAATTTATTATCACTGCTTGTCCAATGATAAATGGCTTGCCTAGTGTTCGTTCGTGTGGTATTGGAAATTCTGATCCTACAACTTGGAATTCTATCGTGCGTACTCCACTTCTGAAACAAATGTCGTGGTTTATGTACCCCAAAGTTCGTATAAAATGTTCTGTGATACCTTTGACCTCATATACAGTATGATCGTATATTATTACATCATCTCTGAGGGCTGAAAGTTTTATTAAATTTAAAACACTGCAAAGAAACTCAATGTATAATGAACTTTTATATTCATTTAGTATTTTTTGTTTTTGTTTTATTAATTTTTCTTTAGTTGTTTTTAATCTCGCTTTCGCTATTTTCATGTTAATATAATTCAGATTTTTTCTAAAATTGAATTTGACTATTCTCATGCCTTGATCGTTTTCCTTACGAATGGATCTTCACATGAAAAAACTCCGGATCCACGACGTCATT